TGCTTGACTGTGCTGTGTGTTTTCCTGGAAGGAACTTTTCCTCATAAAATAAATCAACCTGTCATATTTTGTATTCTCCATGACCAAAGCCCCAGAGGAAATGGAAAATGGAACCATAACACACTTAGCTGGGGCTCTGAGTTCCCCTACAGCAAGAGTCTGATCCGGCAACAGAGCCGTGTATCTTGGCCCCGCCATCTGCTGCTCTCTCCAGCTGGCCCAGTTCCCCCTGCGACCCTCTTGCTGCTGCGGAACATTTGCAGTTTCCAGGGGTCTGAGACATGGTGTCCAGCCACAGGCTGGTGCTTTACAAAGGACAAAAACTTCCTTTTTCCAAGGATCCCCTTGCAAATTGTATCAGCCTCTTCAGAGTCTGCTTTTTCTGATACAGATGGCGGTGCTCAAGGCCACCTATGCTTTTAAGAACAAATTCTGCATGGACAGGACTCTTCAGCCAGTAGGGGTGCAAGAAGGGGCGCAAGTCAATGCTGGGACCCCCAAAAGGCCTTGGCTATCTATTGTTGAAGGAGAAAAGCAAGTTACAAAACAGGGTGTAGAGCATAAGCTCATTTCTGGTTTTGGTTTTTTAATTTTTCTTTTTTAAAGTTTATTATTTTGAGAGACACAGAGAGAGAGCACAAGTGGAGGGGAGGGGCAGACAGGGGGTGGGGACAAAGGATCCAGAGGGGTCTCTGTTCTGACAGTAGCGAGCCTGTTGTAGGGCTCAAACTCACAAACCATGAGATCATGACCTGAGCTGAAATCACTTGCTTAACCCACTGAGCCATGCAGGTGCCCTGGTTTGGGTTAGAATGTCTAACAGGCCACATCCGCCCCCCTGAGGAGTAGATTAGGAATGGTGGGGGTGGTGGAGAGTAGGAAGCTTTGACTTTGAGCTTCATGTAATTGTGTACTTTCTCTTGAATAATCACGGTTACCATTGTATAGTAAGGGACATTTATCCAGTGCCGGCTGCAGTCTGGACTTCCAGCCCTTCCGTGGAGCTCAAAGGAGCAGAGTTAATTTTTAAAACATTCTATTATAAATAATTAACAAACACTATTGTACTTTAAAAATTACATCACACGTTTAACATTTATCAGCCAGTAAGTGCTTACTGAATAAGAGTTAGAACAAGAAGATCTTTTTTTGGAACAAAATGTGATGTATCTAAACCAGCCAATTAACTAATTAAGGAAGGACTCCAAATGTCCCTCACTATAAAACAAAACAATTTAAGAGAGCATCAGCCTGGCTGTTAAGATATTCTGCCTCTTCGCAGAAATTGACGTTCTGGATTCATCCACATCACCTTATTGACGGACAGAGGGACAGGAAACAAATACCTCACCTGACACAGTTGCATGAGATGGAACAAAAGCAAGAAGAGGGTCGTAATTATGGCCCGAGTCCGCCGCATAGCACTCAAGGTCCTCCCTGATGCAGGCTCACCCCCCAGTCTCCTAGTCTGTCCCCAACCCTTTCACTATCTCCTATGGATCCTTCCGCCTCAGTGGCCCGCCTGCCTCGGCCATCCATCCAGCACCACACTACCAATCTTCTTACTCCGCGGCTTTGGTTAGGTCTCCCCTTCCTGCCCGTAGGCGAGAAGCCCCCAGCAAGGCCACAGACTCCTCTGCCATTAGGCTTCTGCCAACCTCTAGTCTCATCCCATCGCTCTCAGCTCAGAGTACCCACCTCACCAAATGTCCCCACGTCAGCAGTGCCTCAGGGAGACCCCCCCCACCCTGACGCCACCCCCTGTCCCCAACTCTGATGATTTCTGTATATATTTTTAATATATAGCCCTTAAGACTGAAATTCCATTTTAACTACTTAAAACATCTATTAATAATATGTGAGACATGTCATTATATTATTAGCTCATTTGATTCTTGCCACCAACCTGAGCAGCAGGTACTATTATTATTGCCATTTTACAGATGAGGAAATGGGCTCAGAAGGGTTAAGACTGAGGGTCTGAACCCAGGGCTCTGCCACTCCAAGTCCTGGCCCCCATCTGCTGAGCCACTTGAGAATCATTTGTGGATGTGTGGGTGCTCTGCATGGAAATGTGAGATTCCTGAAGGGAGACACTAAGTCTTGTCCACCTTTACATTCCCAAGGGGCTGAGCAGAAGTCCTGGCCCAAGAAACACAAGGCAGGAAGGGAGAGAGGAAGAGAAGGAAAGATGTCTTTGGGGTATTTAGTTCGGGAGAATTGAGCACACGCATCTCTGAGCATTTACTTCTTCATTCAACAAATGTTCATTCAACAGCTGCTATGTGCTGGACACAGCCCTAGACACATGAATCACCTTTAGGAAGTAAAAGGAAAAATAAGTTCAGAAACATACAATGTCCATGGTGAGTGCCAGGAAGAAAACATGAAGTAGGCGCGATGGGGCTTGTGAGCTGTTCTGGAGGGAACCATTTTCACATAGTAATGTCTTTGATGAAGCCATTTACGTTATTAATTTTATTAGATCTTGACCTGTGAGCACATGGCTTTTTTAAAATTCTGCATGACGAACTAGGAAGTAAGCATAAAACATTTCTTCTGCAAACCCAAAGACAGTGGTTATGTAGAGGAAAAGCACTTAGTGATAGAATTGCCCACCCCTCTAGCCTGTTAATTCAGCACATAACATCACTTCTACTTGAAAGAATGATTTGCAAACTATGATTATTCAGACTTGCGTTTTTGGCAGATATCTTCTTGAAAATGAGTGAAGGGAGGCTGTCAAGGAAAACAACAGAAATATCTATGGGCAATGATAAAATTTGAGCTTTTAGGTGAAATCAACATTTGGAAAACCTGTATTGGCTGCAGTGAGATAGATAGCCTTCCAATACTTACATGAGATTTGGCAGTGATATTAACATACATCACTTTTAAATTTTACATAATGAAGACATTTGGAAAATCTGTACAACTCAATGAACCAAAATTTTCTAAATGACCCAAACATGATGTTCCAAAATCATGCATGGGTAAAAGATCCATTCAAAGAGTAGGTTGGACCAATGGATTTTAATATAACAGAGTAAAAGAATTCATTGACATGGTTTCAGTTTCCACACTGGGCGTGACTTTTTTTTTTTTTTTAAGTAGGCTCCACACTGGGCATGATGTGGAGCTTGAACTTATGACCCTGAGATCAAGATCTGAGCTGAGATCAAATGTCAGACACTTAACCCACTGAGCCACCCAGGCGCCCCAACAATATAACCTTTACAGATAAACTATCAGTGGTTGAGTTTCGGTATAGTATCAGAGAAGGATCCTTACAATTATCTAAAAATACCATTAAGATATCCTACTTTTCCATAATTGGTTTATTATTTTTAAGTTTATTTATTTTGAGAGACAGAGAGCATGCACACAAGTGGGGGAAGGCAGAGAGAGGGAGCAAGAGAGAATCCCAAGCAGGCTCTGCACTGTCAATGCAGAGCCCGATGCTGGGCTCAAACTCATGAACTGTGAGATCATGACCTGAGCCAAAATCAGATGCTTAACTGACTGAGACACCCAGGCACTCCAGTCTATTATTTTTTTAAAGAATTAAAATTTAAATAATAGTTTTTGGAGTTTATTTTAATTTCTAATAGGTAGTTTAATTTTGGTAGATATACTCTATATGACCAAAAGCTCTTTGGAGCCCCAGTAATTTTCATAGAGTAAAGAGTTCCGAGATCAAAAAGTTTGAGAACCACTTGTTTACAACAATAATTTGTGTTTAGATCTTTTATTGGAATGTCCCACTAGGAGACTGACTTCAGGACCTTTGCACTTGCTCCCTTTGACTATGTCAATTATCATGTTCACTATTGGTGATAAAGGGTGTTCAGAGAAGTCTTATCCATCACCTCCCCTTCTCTGACATGAGCAGTGATCATTTTCTCTAACCTGAGTACTGTCCTGAATCATCTTTTACACAGAAAATCTGGATTGACAGTGTTCAGGTCTTAGTTTAAATGCCACAGGGAGACTTTGCCTGAAACTTCCCTTCCCTTCCCCACCCCACAGAGGAGAAATAGGCTTTCATGGTACCCTGTATCCTTCCCTCATGGCACTTAACATCAAAGGGACTGTGGAGTTGCTTCTGAGATTATCAGTTTCATTTCGGCCTCCTCCGTTCAAAGTAGCTCCAGGAGGCTGTTTTCCTTGTCTTGTTTGTTCATTGCCGGATCCCAAGTTTCTAGGACATTTGTTCAAAGAACAAAATGTGTGTTCATCTGTGTGTGGACCAGCTGAAGCTATGGGTTGTGGCCTCTGCAACTGTGCATATGGGCATGCCGCATGAGAGCATGGCTGATCCTTTCCACAATCTGTAAGAACACCTTAAAAAACTCAAACCACAGCTAGCTTCACTATAGACGTGTTTTCCAGAGCATCTATAGAACAAGATATTGCTGTATTGGGTGAGAGACAGGAAGAGGTGGGGTGGAGTGTATGCCTTGAATCATCCCTCCCCCTCCTTTGCTTCTGACATGTGACCCCAGTGAAGGGAAGGGTAGAAGTGGGGAAAGAAGGAACGGGGCTGCCTTCTTCCTGGATCCAGGCCCTCCTCTCCAGGGAGAAGGCAGGGTGCAAATAAGGATTTTGTCTTACAGGGATGTGGAAACTGTGGAATTCAGAGAGGCCTAGTGTGGGTTCAGTGGCAGACCAGAAAATAAGTTTTAATGATGAGGAAATAAGGAAGTGGTTGTCAAAATATGGATTCATTAAGGCGTATTCCCCGGGGGCCTGTTTTGGCAGTGGAGGTAATTAAGCTGAAATTTTAAAGGTCAGTTTTAACCAGCTCATGAGGCAAATGGCAATGGTGACATCAGACACCATACTGGTCCTCTTGTAACTATGGCAACTCAATTTCAGAGCTGTGATTAAACATAAAACTGAAGCTACTGCATGAGTCCCAGCACCAGCCCCAAATAAGTGTACGGGAAGTGGAGAACTTGACGCATTCTCTCAAGATATTCTGCCCATTTACAGGGAGAACAAACAAAAGAGTCTTCTATTCAAACTGCCTGATAATGAAGCCAGTTCAGCGGCCCCCAGCCTCCTCTGGGACCTTGGGTAAGAGGAAGATCATCCACAAATCCATCGCTTTTCACTCACGTATTGTTCTTAAGTTGGAGAGTCAAGATACGTAGCACAGGAAGGTGATTACGTGGGTGATTACTTACTTCTAAATGACCCAAACATGAGGTTACAAAATCATGCATGGGTAAAAGATGCATCCAAAGAGTTAGTTGGACCAATGGATTTTAATATAACAGAGTAAAATAATTCATTGTTATGGTTTCAGATTCCACACTGTAGTTAACCTTTTAACTATTTCTTAACTGTTTTTTTTCCTAATCATAAAAATGATTTAAAAATAAACCAATATTTATTATAAGAAATTTCTAAAATCCAGACAAATATCAAGAAGAAAAAGTACCTGAAATCTCAATTGGGGTACTTCTTTCCTGTTTTTTTTTTAAGTTTATTTGTTTTTGAGAGAGAGAGTGAGAGCAGAGGAGGTGCAGAGGCAGGGAGAGAATCCCAAGCAGGCTCCACACTGTCAGCTCAGAGCCTGACATAGGTCTCAAACTCACAAACAGTGAGATCACAACCTGAGCCAAAATCAAGAGTTGGACATGTAACCACTGAGCCACCCAGGCTCCCCTCCTTTTCTCTATATATGCATTTATTTTACAAAATTAGAATTAATAATATGTTATGATCTTTTTGCCATATCATTATTCATTGAAATATTTTGAATATGTTAATATTTTAACAGTGGCATAAGATTCTATCACATAAATTTTTTTTATGCTTTGCCTCATTTCTTCCTAATTCTAAGATTAGTTGAAGTGTAATTCTTACACTTTCCATTTTTATAGCCTCTTGGCACATCCTGCACAGGGCATCCTGCCCCTCGCGTAGGAGGTAGGGTTGCTGGCGTCTGAGTGTTGTCCCACCGCACTTTGGGTCCTCAGTGAAAGCTGACAAGAGGCATCTCATGAAGTCCCCTGTTTCTTATGTATCGACAAATTGCAGGAATAACCAAGCAAATCCAGCAGAAATACAACAGTGCTGGTGGACTTTCACCTGCTTATTTCAGTGCTTGGACTAGATAGTGCAAAAAGGTAAGAAAATTATAGTAACAATAATATTATTCAAATAATTCTAGTATTTTATACTATAAAAATTATCTTCATTAGCACGATTATTAATAATATCTGTGCTTATTGATAAACTAAAAGAACAATATAACCAGTAACTAATATTCTCAACTGTATTCCTTGAAATGAGTAGACTTCAAGTACAAATGGAAAAAGTTATATAAACATGAACCTGGGGGCACCCTAGGTGCATCAGTTGGTTGAACGTCTGACTCTTGATTTCGGCTCAGGTCATGATCCCAGGACCGTGCGACTGAGCCCCACGTCAGGCTCCGTGCTTAGCATGGAGCCTGCTTGGGATTCTTTCTCTCTTTCTTTCTCCCTTTGCCCCTGCTCTCTCTCTCTCTCTCTCTCACACACAAACACACGCTCCTTCTTTATCTAGAAAAAGAAAGAAAAATGAACATAAGGGAAAACCCATTATACATAACAAATTAGAAATAGTACAAATCACATTCTCTGATCATAACACAATAAACCTAGAAATAAATAAAAGTAGAAGCAAAACATCAACCATTTGAGAATGTCAACATTTTCTATCAGACTTCCCTTGGACAAAAAACAAATGTATAGAATTTTTGGGAAATAATGCTGATGAAAACACCACCTTCAAAACCCATGGATAGAGCTGTACTCAGAGGAAAATGGATAGTCTTACCACGCTCCTTACTGAATAATAAAGAAATTTAAACTACAGCAGGCAGCCTACTTTGCCCAAGAAGCTTGGAGGAGGAATGCGGTTTTTGCTTTAGGAGCTCCCTGAGAGAGCTACCCATTTTATTAAATAAAATAAAATAAAATAAAATAAAATAAAAGCTCCAATCTACCAAAATAAAAGAGGCAAACTAATAAATACCACAAGTCCAAGGCTTAGTCAGAGCTCAGCAAATTAGACATCAGTGTTTCATTGGTTTTTTTCTTAAATATATTGAGATATAATTCACATACCTTCCAATGCATCCACCTAAAATTTAAAATTCACAGACTCATGCACCCACGGCCACAATCAATTTTAGAATATTTTCATTACCATTTAAAAAAAAAAACAAAACTATACCCTTTGGAAGTCACTTTCCATTAGTCCCCAGTAAATCCTGCTCCAGCACCTGGCAGCCACAAATGCTTTCTGTCTCTGATTTGTCTGTTCTGGATAGAGAGAATGGGGAGTGACGCTTGACAGGTGCAGGGGGGATAAGAAAGCTCTGGAATGCTGTGCTTCTGACAAGATGGAGCTAGGTGGTTGCACAACACTGAATCTAATGAATGCTGTAGATTCATACTTCGGAACGGTCAAGTTTATATTTTGTGTACTCCCAGGGGCGCCTGGGTGGCTCAGTCAGTTAAGCGTCCGACTTTAGCTCAGGTCATGATCTCGCAGTTTGTGAGTTCGAGCCCTGTGTCGGGTTCTGTGCTGACAGCTAGCTCAGAGCCTGGAGCCTGTTTCAGATTCTGTGTCTCCCTCTCTCTCTGCCCCTCCCTGGCTCATGCTCTGTCTCCAAAAAAAAAAAATTGTAATATATATATATAGTGTACTCCAGTACAATATTAATTTTAAAAATCCAAACCAGTATCTGTGAAGTCATTGGTCGGGATCATACCTAAGAATTAGTCATGCATATTAAAGTGAGTTATTTTTTTGTCACATTATATGAAGAGAAACAACAAACACCACCAGCGAAATAGCACCCTGAACAACAAATATTGAAGTGTACTTAATGAAACAGAGTGTAGGCTCTGTGTTTCTTCAACAGCAAGATACGATAATTCTAACAAAAGGAATGCACGGAGTTAAAAACTGTTTTCACTCTAACTACGGAGTGTGCTGCCGTTGGGTTTCCATAGACTGTGCTGAGGGTAGGGGAGAGACTTGGAGAGTCCGGTTCGAGGCCGGACTTCCCCCTGCTCTCTCTCTATTTACAGGTGAGGAAGAGAAGACAATCCTGCAGCTTCTTGGAGTCCTGGGAGCCTTCTCACTCCAGCGGCAGTAAAGCCATGTGGATGGAATGAGCCATTGCCTCAGTGGCTGCTGCCCGCCTCTTCCTGGGACTGCCTGGCACAGCCGGTGGATGAGGAGCAAATCCTCTCCCCCACAGACTGTCTGATGCTGAAGGTAATAACATGCAAAGAAATGGCATCGAATTTGAGAGCATATTCAAGGCATCTATGATGGTCGTGCTCAACACGCCCCGGTTTCCAAGTTCTAAGTAAGGGAACGTGACAGTCAGTTGCTCAGTTGCTGAATGGTTGGGGATTTTTAGGAGTAAAATGATTCAAGAATGCTGCAGTCAAGCATCCACACAGTGGTTTGTGGTATTGGGTACAAATGAGAATCATCTGGGGGCTGTGAGGATCCCTCCCCCCCCACCGCCATGGTCCCACCCCAGACCCATGGAATCCGATGCTGAGGGCCGCGTCTCCCCAGGTGGTTCCAATGCGCAGAGCACGAGACTCGAGACTCGCATCTCGCTTCTCAGCAGTTCAGGTGGGAACTTCACCTTCGGCCTCTGGCACTGACGCTACTCGGCAGGAATAAACCTGTAGGAGGAACCAGAGTCTCGCTCCCAAAGGACCCCTTCAGCTGCTGCGTCGGGAAAGCTCTGGGCAAGCTTGTTGGGGGAGAGAAGACACAGGTGGGCTTCTGCTCACGCACCCACTCTGCTCAGTGTTCGTCTGTCCCCTTATTCTCTCCGTGTGTCTTAGGCTCCCTGCTGTGCCTGACCCTGGCCTGGGGAAACCAAGCCGCAAAGAAGGCCTGGTGCCTCCCTCAGAAACCTCTAACTCGGGCAACCAAGTGCAAAAAGAAGCTGTGGCCTTTCCAGAAGAGGAGCTGCCACCTAGGCCACCTCCCAGGCAGAGCAGGAGGGAGCACCCTTGAAGACAGCTTTCCGAAGGAGGGGACACCTGGCTGCATACAGGAGAGAGACCAGGCACGAGCCGAGAAACGGCAGCAAATCGCCCGTGAGTGGGGTTCTCAGCCTGGGATGCACCAGGAACCACCTTGGAGCTTCTAAGTGTGTCCACCTCTGGCCCCACATCTGGAGGCGCTGATCTGATTAGCCTGCAGCAGGGCCTGGGCACTTGTATATTTTATAAATGTCATGATTTTTCATTGAGGTGAAATTCACATAACGTAGAATTCACTCTTATTATTTTTTATTATTTTATGTTTATTTCTTTTTGAGAGAGAGAGAGAGCATGAACCGAGAGGGGCAGAGACAGAGAGAGACACAGAATCCAGAGCAGGCTGCAGGCTCCGAGCTATTAGCACAAGCCCGACGCGGAGCTTGAATTCACGAACCATGAGACCAGGACCTGAGGGGAAGTCGGATGCTCTAACTGACTGAGCCACCCAGGTGCCCCGAATTCACCATTTTAAAGCGAACAGTTCAGTGGCATTAGTACCTTCACGACGCTGGGCATCCACCACCCCTGTATGGTTCCAAAACACCCCCCCAAAATATAAGACCCTGTAAAACCCTGCACGCGTTAACCAGTCACTCCCTATTTCACCCTTGCCCCAGCCCCTGGCAGCCATAAATCTGCTTTCTGTCTGTACGGATTGAACTATTCTGGATACTTCACATAAAAGGAACCCTACAAAATGGGACGTTTTGTGTCTGCCTTCTTTTCACTTAGCATAATGCTCTCAAAGTTCATCTGTGTTGTGGCATGTTTCAACACTCCATTCCTTTCTAAAGCAAAATTGTGCCCCATCCAACGGATATTGTGTAATTCGTTTATCCATTCATTGATCGCTGGACATGTGGCCTGTTTCTGCCTTTTGGCTACTGTGAATAGTGCTATGAACATTCATACACAAATGTTTAACATCTATTCTTAATCCTTGGGTGTATACTGGATGTATGTAGTTGGGTGTTGTTGTTTTTTTTTAAGTTTATTATTTTGAAAGAGAAAGCGTGGGCACGCACTGGAGCAGGGGAGGGGCAGAGAGAGGGCCTAAGAGAGAAGGGGGAGAGAATGCCAAGCGGGATCCGTGCTACCAGCATGCAGCCCGACACAGGGCTTAATCTCATGAACTGTAAAACCATGGCCTGAGCCCAAATCAAGAGCCAGACTCTCAATTGACTGAGACCCCCAGGTGTCCCTAGATGTCTGTCATTTTTAAAAACTCCCCAAAGACCCTACCACACAGCCAAGGCTGCAAATCACTAATTTGGGACAGTGGTCCCCAAACTGTGGTTCTGGTTGAATAGATTTCCAGGCCTTGCTCTGGACAGTTTAATTTAGTCACTCAAGGAATCTCTCTTCCTGGCCCCCTCTCCGCCTTGGCATCTCCTTCCTCTGTGTGGACAGGCCAGCCGACCCTTCAGCCTCAGGGGTGCCTTGGACAACATGCGCCTTATTAAGTGCAGGAACAGTCCCTTCCCTGCAGGGAGGTCCCTCCCTGCCCTGGCCAGCAGCCCGGGTTGGTGCTTCTGGGGCTCCCTCCGGGTGAGGCCCAGAGGCTGCTCATCCTCCCCACCTGGGCCTGCCCTTGAGCTCTGCGGGAGGTTCTCGGTCACTCCTGTCCCCCAAGAACAAATCCGCACATCTACCGGTGGTGGAGTTTGGATCGATCTTTAGGGCCCAAAGCCCTCTGACTCCGTAAGGATGTGTTAGGTCTAGAGGCGCCTCCACCAGTCACATTCCCAGGACATCCTGGTGTGTGAGGCATTGGTATTTTGGTTACCAGGTGACCGCACAGTTGTCACCAAAAATCATTTACATTTGTGTCACTAAAAGGCCCATCCTACACGTTTTCCCCAAGCAATGGAAGCCTCCCTAAAACTGATCACTCAACCTCCAGAGAACGAAAACTGACCACTTTCAAAAGGCGCTTCTCCAGCTTCAAAAAAACTGAAGTCCGTGGGTTCTGGTTACTTAGATGAACCCGAATGGTATGGATCCTGACACCAGTGTCAAATTCAGGGACCTCTCGGGGCCTGGACAAGCACCCACAAACATAACTTGGTGTGACCTCCAGCTGGGGTAAGGCAGCCACCTTCCTGCCCTGAGACCTGGAAACCAGTTTGCCTCCATACGAGGGGTCAAGGTGGCTCTAAGGAGCTTGAACAATAAACAACAAAAATTTGACCATGCTCCTGTGTCATCTAAGTCCCCCTCCACAAGTCACAGAGGAAAACCACTTTAATACATTTAATCTACATGTAGAAATACTTCTGGTATTTACGTTTAGTATTACTCTAACCCTGCTCAGTGCAGCAGCACACATTATCTCATTTAATCCTCACAGCCACCATGTGAGGAAGAATTTATTATCTACGTTTTAAAGATGAGGTTGGGGCAGCCTGGCTGGCTCCATCGGTAGAGTGTGCAACTCTTGATCTCAGGATTGTGGGTTCGAGCCCCACATTGCGTGTAGAGATTACTTAAAAATAAAATCTTTTTTTTTTACTAAAAAAATATTTTTTAATGTTTATTTATTTTTGAGACAGAGAGAGAGACAGAGTGCGAGTGGAGGAGGGGGAGAGAGAGAGGGAGACACAGAATCTGAAGCAGGCTTGTCAGCACAGAGCCCGACACAGGTTTGAAACCATGAACCATGAGATAATGACCTGAGCTGAAGTCGGGCGCTTAACCAACTGAGCCACCCAGGCACCCATTTTTTTAATTTTTTTTTTAATATTTTTATTTATTTCTGGGAGAGAGAGAGAGAGACAGCATGAGCAGGGGAGGGTCAGAGAGAGAGGGAGATACAGACTCTGAAATAGTCTCCAGGCTCTGAGCTGGCAGTCAGCACAGAGCCCGACTCGGGGCTCTAACCCACGAACCGCGAGATCACGACCTAAGCGAAAGTCGGACGCTTAACCGACTAAGCCACCCAGGCACCCCTTAAGTTTTTTATTTTTTATTTTATTTCTGAGGGAGAGAGACAGACAATATGAATGGGGGAGGGGAAGAGAGAAAGGGGGACACAGAATCCAAAGTAGGCTCCAAGCTGTCAGCATAGAGCCTGACACGGGGCTCAGACTCACAAACTGTGAGATCGTGACCTGAGTTAAGTCAGACATTTAACCGACTGAGCCACCCAGGCGGTCCTAAAAATAAAATCTTAAAAAAAATCAGGGGCTCCTGTGTGGCTTAGTTGGTTAAGTGTCTGTCTTTGGCTCAGGTCATGATCTCACAGTCCGTGGTTTCGAGCCCCGTGTCAGGCTCTATGCTGACAGCTCAGATCCTGGAGTCTGCTTTGGGTTCTGTGTCTCCCTCTCTCTCTGCCCCTACCCTGCTTGGTCTCTGTCTCTCAAAATAAAACAAAGACATTTTTTTTTTCAAAAAAAATTTTTAAGGTTTTTATTTATTTCTAGAAGAGAGAGACAGCGTGAGCAGGGGAGGGTCTGAGAGAGAGGGAGTCACAGACTGAAACAGGCTCCAGGCTCTAAGCTGGCAGTCAGCACAGAGCCCGACGCGGGGCTCGAACCCACAAACCGCGAGATCATGACCTAAGCGAAAGTCGGATGCTTAACCGACTAAGCCACTCAGGCACCCCGACAAAGACATTTTTTTTTTAAAATCATAATAAAGATGAGGAGATTGAGGACCAGAGAGGTTGATCAACTTGCCCAAGGTCACACAGCTATTAATTAGTGGAGCTTGGATGCAAACCTAGATCTGTTTGACTTCAAAGTATGTGGCTGTAAGTGATGACTATTCTCTTGAAAAATGTATTTTGGGAAAGGAATGACCTACTGATCTGCACAGATGCTGCACCCACTCAGAGTGGTAAGAAGGCTCGTAAAAGGATATCTACTGGGCGTGATTAAAAAATAGAACATGATGTAAGCTAAGTGCTAGACTGTGCGGTCTGTAGGAGGCAGAGGACCCGAGGAACCTCCCTAGTTCACAACATTGGGCTCTGAACCGGGTGCGAGTTGTGCCAGCTGAAACTGGTCACTGATGGCGTCCCTCTTGATCTTAGATCGCTCTTTCAAGTTTAGTAACTCATAAATCCATAAAGTTGCATCTTTTTAGAGCTGCTATTCCACAAGGTACGTTTGTAAAACATTATTTATTTTGGACAGTGCAAGGTGTTTCAGAAGCTAAGAGGATTCCAGGAGAGTGGCGGCAGAAATGGGAACACGCTTTCCTCACATGGGTAAGTTCTGGGCTCTCAGTCTTTCTTGAGGTGACCACACACATATTATTGCCCCTCCATTGTCCGAGAGAGTCCAGCCAAGGAACTTGGGGAGCTAAGTATTTCCATCCGCAGGCGGCCAGGCCAACCAAATGCCACTCTGGCACTTGCATGTGGTGATCATTTTGGCCGGGAGGCGGCGATCTTGCCTGCGACATTCTACCTTCGTGGTTTCCCCAAAGGGCAGCTGGATGTGGCACTTGGGCCTAGTTCCCTGAAAAAGTTTCTCCCCTGAAGACTCCTTGGCAGAGCTGGTATTTGCAACAGTGAAAGAAAGTGTCAGAAGCAAACGTGCTTTCCCTGCTTTCTCATCACTGCTTTTAGAAGGGACTGCTTTAAAAAAGGAAACACAATTGCTTGCTTTTGTCAACTTCCTGAAAATGTATTATTAAATTCAACTAATTAAAACAATGTTGGTGGGTTGGTTTTTTTTTATTCCTATCATTAATGTCAGGTGGCCTTTTCATCTGCCTCATTTTCCAAGGGAGTTTAGCATCCTGACTCCCTTCCTTCCTTCCTTCCTTCCTTCCTTCCTTCCTTCCTTCCTTCCTTCCTTCCTTCCTCTCTCCCTCCCTCCCTTTCTTTCTTCTTTCCTTTTATTTATTTATAAACTTTTTAAACGTTTATTTATTTTTGAGAGAGAGCATGTGTGCGTGAGTGGGGCAGGGACAGAGACAGAAGGAGACCCAGAATCTGAAGCAGCTCCAGGCTCCGAGCTATCTGCACAGAGCCCAACACAGGGCTCGAACCCACAAACTGCAAGATCATGATCTGAGCCGAAGCGGGATGCCTAACCAACAGCCATCCAGGCGCCCGGACTTTTAAATGAATTCTCAAAGTAGAGGCTGATTGGCCTTGCAGGAAAATGTCTGTCTGCGGCTGTCACCCTCGCTGGGTGGCAGCGTTTAGAACATTATTTCTGCTTCACCAGAACTTGGGGTTTCAGCTCCTTTTCTATTTCCCTTGCAGAGCCTCATGGACAGGGTGCAAATCCCAGAGACTGAGAAGGGTGCCTATTTTTATATTGGAGATCAAAGGTAAGGTTCTATTTGATAGAAATCTGCTGCTGCTGTCAACCCAAACAAAACATTCTTAAAAACCAGTAATTTCACGACGACCCAGGGGTGTCAAGTGGTGCAGAGAGGCAGAGGGGGATTATGCTTCAAGATTGGCAAAAACAAAGCTCTTTATAGAAATAGTATTTAAACCCTGTTATGGTCAATTCGAATAGATTCACAGAAGTCAGTGTTTGTAAGCTGGAATTGTAAATGAAAGCTCAAAAGATCCAAGCTTCAGAGTAGAAAACTGTAATCAAAATTCGTTTTTAAGAGATGATCAACACACCACCCTTTGGGATTTGCACACATTAGAGGTGTTCCAAACTCATTTGTTTGGGGAGATGAAAGCAGGCATCACTACTCAGAGCACAGATGAGTTTTTCTGGAAGCTCACCTGGAAATGCCATTGTATGACATCCATGAAGTTAGGAGTAAGTACTGAGCAAGAAGAAGCACTGGGATGTAGCATCTGCTTGTCTCAGCGCTTTCTCCTGCCAGAGAATTGTGTCCCCGCCTACCTGGCAGGGTGGGGCTACTCCCTGCTGCTGGGGCGGGGCCGGGGGGGGGGGGGGGGGCACGAGCGGCCTGTGCTCAGCTGGACCGCAGCTCAAGCTCCCGTGGGGGTGCTGGCCTCGCTTCGACAGCAGACTGCGATTCTCCTTAAATGCTGNGGGGGGGGGGGGGGGGGGGGGGGGGGGGGGGGGGCTCCTCTCCTGCCTTTGCATTTCCCCTAACTTGGACTGAGCTCCATTTTGTTGTCTCAAAGAAAACCACAGTGGCCCTCTTTCTGTTCTGCCCCTGACAAGTGGTAAAGAAACATGGTGGGTAATTTGGGAGTTGGAAAGGACAGAACTCAGACAGACCAACTCCCTCGCTTATAGGAGTGGGGGCCAGTGACTTGCCTGGGTCACCTTGACTTCAAGGCTGGGCTAGAGGCAGCGGATCTGATGTCTGGTGAGGAGTTTTTTCCACTGCATCCCAAGTGCCTAAGACAGATTCAGTGGGACTGTGCATGTAGGAAATTGCCTTGGAACATCTCATGACCAAGTCTCCAGAAAGTTCTCTCTGGAGCACTGACAGAACTTAGTTCTCATGATGTAAAAATGAAAGAAATGGTGAGGTTGCAGAATATTCTGTGGGGGTTGTTTTTTATGGCTGTGATCTGATGAATAAGAGAGATTTTTAAAAAAATAAGTCTTGGGGGGCACCTGGGTGGTTAAGCATCTAACTTCAGCTCAGAGCATGATCTCATGGTTTATAAGTTCAAGCCCTGCATTGGGCTCTGTGCTGACAGCTCAGAGCCTGGAGCCTGCTTCAGATTCTATGTCTTCCTCTCTCTCTGCTCCTCCCCCACTCATGCTTTGTTTCTCTCTGTCTCAATAATAAATAAAACATAAAAGAAAAAATTAAAAAATAAGCCTTTGTATAAATACTGTGGCTCCTTTATTAGAGCCTAACCTTTCTGAGGGCAGAGAAAGTGTTCTGTTCATTTCTATACAGTCTGTAATTCCCTCTCGACTCACACTTGATGTCCAATAAGTATTCCTTGTTTGATTGAATAGAGATGTCTCTGAATTGAAGTCTGGATTGAAAAATTCAAAGCAACTGCAGGATTTTTCGGATTTTTCTTACCTCTCATTTTTAGCCCTTTTTCTCTCCACGACCAGGCCTCCTGGAAGTTTTCCTCTTCTCTCTCAAACTTTTTTCTATGACGCTTATTGGAAATCTCATCACATATACCCTTTTCCTGTTTCTTGTTTCATATACAACATCTACTTTTCCCACCAAGGTTGTCCACGAAGGTCAGGATAATGTTTCCTGTGCAGCAGTAACCAAGTCAGTACAAGCCCCTAGACAAATTTTGAAGACTATTGAAAAGAACAATTTCAGAACTGGGAAGATTCTACCTGATGCTTTTAGCTAGCATTTTATTTTTTCAGCTCTCTCTCAGAAATTATTCCTTCACAACACAACACATTTTTAATTTTCAAATTTTATTCAAAATAGTTTTTTTGTTTATGGACTTTATTTTTAATCATGAAATTTACAGAACATAAAAGACACCATCTTAACCATGTTTAAGTGCACAGTTCAGTGGTATTGAATACATTCATACTGCTATACTCTTATCTCGGGAACTTTTCTCATCTTGCAAACCTGATACTCTGTACACATCAAACAATAACTCCCTGTATTGTTCCCTCCCCAGCTCCTGGTAACCACCATTCTATTTCCTGTCTCTCTATACATTTGACTACTCTAGTGCTCTATGTTAGTAGAATCATACAGTATTTATATTTTTGTGACTGGCGTGTTTGACTTAGTATGATGGCTCTCATCCACACTGAGTAATGTCAGGATTTCTTTCCTTTTAAAGCTGAATACTACCCCGTTGTATGTATACATCATGTTTTGCTTATCCATTAGTCCACTAGTGGATGGGTTGCTTCCACCTCTCAACTGTTGTGATTAATGCTGGTGTGAATACGGGTGTACAAATATCTATCCTAGTCTCTATTTTTAATTTATTTAGGTGTATTCCCAGAGATGTAATTGCTGGATCATATGGTAATTCCATTTTCAATTTTTTGGGGAACCTCCATACTGTTTTCCATAGCGGCTAAGTCATTTTACACTCATACCGGCAGGACACTCCACTCCGATTTCTCCACATCCTTGCCAACACTAGTTGATTTCTGTTGTTGTTGTTTTTTTAATGTTTTTGTTTATAATGGTCATCCTAATGAGGGTGAAGTGGTATCTCATGTGGTTTTGATTTGCCTTTCTCTAATTAGTGATGTTGAACATCTTGTACTAAATGGCCATTTTTTAAAAATTTTTTAAATGTTTGTTTACTTTTGAGAGAGACAGAGAGGGAGGGCAGGAGAGAGAAAGAAAGAGTGTGAGCAGGGGAGGAACAGAGAGAAAGGGAGACACAGAATCCGAAGCAGGCTCCAGGTTCTGAGCACAGAGCCTGGGCAGGGCTTGAATTCACAAACTGAGAAATCATGACCTGCGCCAAAGTCGGACACTTAGCCAACTGAGCCACCGAGGCGCCCCTAAATGGCCATTTTTATATCTTCTTTGGAGAAATGTCTACTCATCCTCTGCCCATTTTATTTTTTATTTTATTTTATTTTATTTTATTTTAAGTAGGCTCCACACCCAGCATGGACTCCAGTGTGGGCTTAAACTCACAAACCTGAGATCAAGACCTGAGCTAAGATCAAGAATCAGATACTTAACTGACTGAGCCACCCAGGTGCCCACTTCTGCCCATTTTTTTAGTGTTTATTTATTTATGTTTGAGAGAGACAGTATGTGCACACATGTGGGGGAGGGGCAGAGAGAGAGACGCAGCATGAAGCAGGCTCCAGGCTCCAAGCTGTCAGCGCAGAGCCTGACGCAGGGCTCAAACCCACAAACCATGAAATCATGACATGGGCAGAAGTTGGATGCTCAACTAACTGAGTCACTCAGGTGCCCCTCTACTCATTTTAAAATCAAGTTATTTGGATTTTTTCTGTTGTTGAGTTGTAGAAGTAGTTTCAATAATCTGGATATGTATGATTTGCAAAACTCTTGATGATGTCCTCTGATACACAAAAGTTTTTAATTTTGATATAGTCTAATTTATCTATTTTTCTTTCACTGTCTATACTTTTAGTGTCTTATCCAAGAACAAGCTAACCATTTGAGAGTGCAATGTGGTCCCCCCAAATGGTTTCTGGGCCAAAAATATTAGAAATTGGACATCACCCTAAAGTGGGGAATGTCATTTTTTCATTTTCTTAAAATAGCAGGTGAATTGAATGGGTAAGGATAGTTTTGATTAGCGTTTGTATGGCCATTACTAGGAATGTTTGAATGTTATCTTTGCGTTGTGCCCTGATGAGTAATACAAGAGCCGGAGCCAGCCGCTTACAAGGTTTTCCAGGAAGATGTGAACGTATGTGTCCTCTGTTAATCAGTAGGTTTGGCTTACAGAGGGTCTGGGTGAATCTCTGCCCTTCTCAGAAGACCTGTAAGAAGCAGAAGGGTACAGACATGGTCCCCCAGACATAGTTAGTGAGGAAAAAATGTCAGGCATCTCAGAAAAAATTGTTACTCTTCGAATTTTAACTGACCAAATATTATAAATTTTATCTGGAAAACATATATACGACAATGATGTAGAATAAAATTTATACCTCAGAAAGCAAAGGATGATTAAGTGAACATGTGACTCTAATCACAAGAGAGGAAGAGAGGCTTGAAATAGGCTC